GTGTAGAAAAAAAAATCTCTCTGTTAAACAGAAATTGGGGAAAACATTTAATTGGGTGAATAATTCTAATAATTCTGAATTCAACTGTATATATATATATATATATATATATATATATATATATATATATATAATTTTTTTAACTTTTATATAAGGTTTTCATTGCAAATGCAATTGGTAAAAAAGTACGTATCTCATGACACATCTACTAAATAGACAAAGTATTATTTTAAAAACCGTAATGTTCGTAAATCATCTAAACATTTGCACATTATTGAATAAAACTACTAAAATGAATATAAAAATGTAATTACTATATGTTTACACACATTTACGCAAGTAAATACTCAATGACAAGTTAAAAAAATCTGGTTCTACAAATGAGATGTCATTGAATTAAATGCACATATTTGATTCAACGAGACATACATCTGTATTACACCAACTACTGAAAAAAGCAGACCCCCAATAGGCGACTTATATTTTGCCGGCTGCATAAAGGCATAAACTAAACTGAACTGTGTTATTAAGAAATAAACTGCATTCAGAAACAATGCATTTGTAGATAAATGATAATGCATTCTACTGCATCAGCGAAGGACCGCCTACTCACCTGTCAATCAATCAGATCACCTGAAAATGACTTAGCAAAACAGGACCGCGTGCATTTGAAAACTCTAGTGTGAAAACTCCCTTGATCTGTGTGTGTGTGTGTGTGTATGTGTGAAAATCACAGGGTGAAAAACTCGAGTAGAATTACAGTATTAAAAGCCACCACACCATTTTAGACGACAAACCCATGCTCGTTTCTGAACTCTGTTTCGGTGTTTAAACAACAGACTCATGCAGACAACTGGAAACTGTGACAGTAAAAACACTGAAAGCACATGATTTCCTCTGCCCTCTGCATCCGGCTGCTCCCAGCATGCCTACCTTGCTGAAAGATGGTCAGAGTGACTGAAGTGACCAGCTCAAACAGTGCTTTGATTGGAGGAAAGTGATTCGTTTCGCTGGCAAATATGTGAACCATCTGTGGAAGAATAAAATGAATGAAATGAAAGGAAGAAGGGTCATCCTTTAGTTTAAAGGGGACACTTATTATGCAAAACTCACTTCTATAAGGGGTTTAAACACAGATTATGTATGTGTGTATCAGTGTCTGTGTGTGTGTGACTTGTACCTGGCGGGTTAAGTCCAGCGCAGACGCCTGTGGTATAGTGCTGTACATCTGACCCAGCATCTCGCTCAGCTGAGACACCATCGGCGCAAAATCATGCAGGAGAGTTTTCACAGACTTCTCGAAGATGGCACACACCGCCTAAGACGAAGAAAAAAAACAACCAGAACTTATGTTTATCAATAATAACTTGGCTGCCGGAAATCTGATTAATATGCTAAGATAATTAGGAAGGATGTAAGGGAAAAATCAACAGAAACAATTCAAATATTTGCATAATTCAACATTTCAAAGCACAATACATACAATTTTCCAGTCATTTCTGGAATGCAGTTACAAAATTGATTACAGGGGTGTTACTCAAATTACTCAATATTTAAAGGGCACATAGTTTACCCCTTTTTTATGATTTAACCTTAGTATCATGGTTGTTCTGAGTGTGCCAGTTTAGGTTCAGTTCAACACACAGTTCAGATGTTTATATTATAATGTGTTCAAAAGTGTCATGTTGGGGGCGTGTACACAGCTCGGGGCGTGTTGCTTCACATGTAAATTAGTTTCAGCTTCCCGCCCCACGTAACAAGGGGGCGGAGCCAAGAGCTCGTCAGCTCTGTGTTTGACAACTGACTGGCAGACTGTGAGATGGAGCAGGAGTGAGAGGATCAGCATTCAGCCGTACATGTACGACTCGGACACAGACCAAGCAGAGTACACAATCATTTACATTTACATTTAGTCATTTAGCAGACGCTTTTATCCAAAGCGACTTACAAATGAGGACAAGGAAGCAATTTTCACAACTAAGAGCAACAATGAATAAGTGCTATAGGCAAGTTTCAGGTCTGTAAAGTCTAAGAAGGGAAGTATTAGTAGTTTTTTTTTTTTTTTTTTTGTACAGTTAGTGTGATATTCAGAGAGGCAATTGCAGATTAGGAAGTGTAGTGGAGACTAAATAGTTGAGTTTTTAGTCGTTTCTTGAAAAGTAGCGAGTGACTCTGCTGTTCTGATGCAGTTAGGGAGTTCATTCCACCAACTGGGCAGATTGAGCGTGAGCGTTCGCGAAAGTGATTTCTTCCCCCTTTGGGATGGAACCACGAGGCGACGTTCATTCACAGAACGCAAGTTTCTGGAGGGCACATAGATCTGCAGAAGTGAGAGCAGATAAGAAGGAGCAAGGCCAGAAGTCACTTTGTAGGCAAACATCAGAGCTTTGAATTTGATGCGAGCAGCAACTGGCAGCCAGTGCAAACGGACTAGCAGCGGAGTGACATTGGCTCGTTTAGGTTCATTGAAGACCACTCGTGCTGCTGCATTCTGGAGCAGTTGAAGAGGCTTGATAGAGTTAGCTGGAAGCCCAGCTAGTAGAGAGTTAAAGTAATCCAGTTTGGAGAGAACAAGAGCTTGAACAAGGAGTTGAGCTGCATGTTCAGATAAGAAGGGTCGGATCTTTCTGATGTTATAGAGTGCGAATCTGCACGATCGAGCAGTTCTAGAGATGTGGTCAGAGAAGTTTAGTTGGTCATCAATCGTTACTCCAAGGCTTTTCACCATTTTGGATGCAGTAATGGTTGCCCCATCCATCTGGATTGAAAAGTTATGGTGTAGAGTCGAGTTGGCAGAAACTACAAGCATTTCCGTTTTTGTCTTTCACATTTTTGTCATCATTTGTGTCTTTGTACAGTTTTACAGACAACTGTGTGCTAGTTTAAAGTGCCGAGCTTGATTGAGGCACCGGACGTGCTGCGACACGGCACACCAGACACTCTCTGTGGCGCAGTAGAAACATGAAGTGTCCCGAATCATCACGCCACGCATTTTAAAACTTTAAACATAGATTTCCATTAGGGCAAACAAAACGGTGCTACAAGTCCGCGGCGCCCAGCCGCCAACTTAAAGCGCTATTGTGTGTACCCTGATAGAAACCTGTTTAGAATTCTAAAATGCATGGCGCTGCATCGGCGTCGCGCCACGCAGAGCGGCGCTTATAGTGTGCGACCTGCAGGCAACTTTTTTTTTTTCCAATGGAGAGCCGCGCACATTCTGCGCATGCACTTTTCCAGCTGCACCTAGTTAAGATAAAAGGGAGCTTCTGTGACCTCGAGAAATGCAAACGGCTGAAGTTTAAGGTAGTTGCAATGAAAACTACACATGTTTGCAAACCTACCTAAAGATACAAAACAATAATTTCGATTACAGCGATCATGAGGTGAATGTTGATCTTGTGTTGAGCCCAATGAGCCTGGCATCTAAAAATAGAGCAAGGATGTTCCTTTAGTGATATCGCTTTGACTCACACGCTGAAAATGGCGGACGTGAATCAACAATGAGGATATGGTGACGTCAATCAATGGGCCTGTCAATCAGTATTGGTTGGCGGGGGGACCGCACTCCTACGTCAAGTTGCGGTCGCTCTGAAAACCGCTCCAATTGGTCCACCGTTTTTATATTGTTAAATTGAAAAAAAAAAAAAAAAGGACTGGGTGTGTTTAAATCACCCAATATGACGGTCTTTACACTATACTTATACACATGTCTGTCCAAACAGCTTGAAAAGTAGCTAAAAGTGAATCAGGTTTCTAATTCCGGGTAATTCTTATCTCTAGTTTTAAAAGAAATTGTTCTCATTTTTAAAATATTTTTGTTGTATGTAATTTTACTAATATTTTTATGTGTAATAATGTGTTTTTGATTTAGGGTTGCCTTTTTAAAAATCTGGCAGGGGCAACAGACGAAAAATATCCCTAACTCTGGCTTATTTATGGTTTTTACTGTTGATTAATGACACTGTCCCTGTCAAATAAAATAAAATAACTTATTTCTTTTGTTTTGCCATGGTGCTTAAAATTGTACTAGTTATCTTGCACGATACTAGTATTTAGCTTTGCATATCAGTCAAATCACCGCTTCTGAATCACGGTAGTGTGTGCGGGTATTATTGCATTAAATTGTCACAAAAGTTCGCAAAACATTTTTAATTTCCCGGCGCGCAAACGTTCTCCTTTTAACTTGAAGCACTTTTCAACAAAACAAGCCAATTTTCCAGGTGTTTCAGGCCTTGAATTTCTAAAAGCCAAATTCAAGCACTTTAAGCACCTTGTGTGAACCCTGCTAACTGGAAGTGCGACCCATAATTGCAAATCAGCAGCAGTAGCATTAATAAAAAAAACTGACAAAGAGTAAGAAATGAATCTTTACCTCCACAACCTGTGAGTCGTTCAGCCATTTACTGAGGACAGTCTGTATGAGAGCGAAGACCTGCTGGAGCACCACCACCACCTAAAGTGCGCGCACACACGCACGCACGCACACACACACACAAACAAACAAACAAACAAACACTGAAGTCCTGCATTAAAAAAAAAAAAAGCCCCGTATAGACCATTCAATGTCACCATGTCATTGGCCCTTGAACATTTCTTGCTTGTTATCAAATTATTTCCTAACGGTAACAAGAGGCAATTCAATCACAACCTATTGTTAAAACAGCTATCATAACATTATTTATCAATATGTTGCTCTTTTTGGATTCTCAGAAGCTATGGAAATTAAAAATAGAAAACAGGAAAGACATTAGGACCATTGTTATTGTTTACATTCCTCAAACTGGTCAATACCCCTGAATAGTGCATTATTTGAGAGAGCTGCCATTTCTATTGGTGTCCGAAACCATAGTAGACATACTGAAGTGGTAATAATGAGCGTACAACCTACGTGCATTCAACAACTAGAAAACACCCATAATGCACATTGAGAATTGGCGAGCCGAATGAATTTCTGCATTTGACCACAAGATGGCGTCCACATACCAGAATGCTATAGGTGT